CTGCAGCTTCCATTGAGGGATGAGGCATGGTGCCCTTTTACCAGAAAATTGGCATGCTCAGTTATACTCGTCTTTGTACCGGACAACACCTGCATCAACGGTTCTTCTGCATTGAGGAAAGTACAATGGAAATGTATGATCTGTTGGAACTTAAATGAAAATAGGAAAAATCAGGCCAACATAGAAAGCCGAAAGAACTCCTGCATGCGCGAGCTTTGATCTTTAAGGTTTATATCTTGTTTGGCTTGGGTCCATAGGTATAAATTTGTCCATTGTCGCTAATTTAATTAGTTTCTTGCAATTGGTTGCTCCATTTGTGCTTGATTATAAACAAATATGCTCCTTCCTGCAAGTCGATGAACCACGAGACATGGACATCCACAATTACTCTTTTGTTTGTGCATCAACGAAGTTAACCACGTCATCAATGCAAATACATGTTTTATTGTGCTAAGTAATGTGTGCTTTGCTACTTGTTTTGGATCAAACTTTCTTGTATTATATATTGTGTTCGTTTGTTAACTTGGCCATGAAACTCGGATAGGCTTATGTTGCATTAACATGTGAGAAGCAGTCTTGTCATTTCATTTCTTAAACTATAGCAACTAGAATACTCACCTAAGGCATTTGATCCACACACACATGCATTTCTCAAGGTACAACCGATGTGCCATGAGCTCATGCTTCTCCCTCGTCCACAACAGCATGATTTTGTCGTCAGTCCAGGTCACAGAAAAATTGATTCAGCAATAGTTTCAGAGGTAGGGGAAACAATTTGGCGCCAGTATGCGTGTCAAAATTAAAGAAGTCCAAGCAGAAGAAAGAAGTAACTTAACTTGTTCTTCATTAGTATAGACTGTATCTTCCTCTGTTGGTTTAATCGTCTTTGTGCGGGTTTGTTGAATCGTCTCAGTGCATCTGCTAGTTCGGATTTAGTGATCTAAAATATCTTATACTATTAGTATACAGAGGGAGTGTGTCAGTGCCAAACAACCATCGTTCGTCAAGGAATAGGAAGGAATCCTTATCTGGTTCCAAGTTTTCCAATAGACTTCCACACCGGTGTGAGGCTACTCCTAACAGATCAGATCTATTTCCCCCTTCCTCTGCTTTGGGAGAAACACAGGGCAGAGTCACAGAGATATACACACCGTCGCTCTTTGTTTGTTTGTTTGGTTACCCTCTTCGAAACACATGCCAAACTGCAGTACAAGCTAGTTCCTGATGAGTGATGATAGCCTTCAATCCTTCAATCTGTACCTCCACCCATGGCGTGTTCCTCCTCTGTCGCCGCAGCCAGCAGTCGCCCCTAACCCCTCCACTTTTTGCAACTGCTACTCGCTGCTTCTCCCTACATCCAGGATTTTGCCGGAGTCAATGCCCTCTTCTTCGTCTTTCATGCCCCTCCACTCTATTCCGATTGTGCCCGTGCTCCAACAGCAAGCGGAAGACTTCAAGCAAGACGGATGAGCAGCATTCTATTGGTCTGAAGAAGTCAGACGATGACCCCTTCGCCCCCACCTTTGATCTTACATGTGCTGCCAAAGGAACCCACACAAACATTTGTTAATAAGCACTGTCACCGTTCTGCCAGGGAATGGTACACAATGAACAACAATGGCATTTTACAAAACACACATGGTATGAGGCCTGGTTCTGGTTTATTCTCATCGTCGTGATTCTTGATCAAGGAGTGACTAGTGCAGGCTGAAGAATGGAGAATAAGTCAATAGGAACATCACAAGGTGATTGACTTCATAGGTACGTCAAGATCCGAGGATACTCACGAGTGTTCACCATGCAGTTTAAGACATAGTTTTGGCCCTACAGTCGTACTTGGAAGTTGGAACAATTGAAACAGCATCCACCGGTGGCCGTTGCAGAAGCAGAAGACTACCTGAGTCAACCACGTATTTTGCTTCCAAAGATGTTCATCTACAAAACGAAGTAAAATCATAACTGGCATCAGCTCCACTAACAGTACTGCATATAAGAGAAACAGGGAAAATAACAATATGAGTGAGGCACTTGAAAGATTCTTGACTATAGTATATCCTTTCAGAGAAGTGACATCCTTATCAGAACTATTGAATGATCGGATCAAAATTGCACTGTTTTGTCATGCACACCAATGCAAACATAACAAAATATTTACACAAATCAGTATAAAGATTAAGAAAAATATTGCTCAGCAAATGGAGATGTTCTGAAGTGCTTATACTCTAAAGAGATACTGGTGTAGATTGGGGGACATTTTTTCCACCAATGTCTAGTTGTTTATAAGACTGAGGAAAGAACAATGACAAAAATTAAACAAGGATAAGTGTAATGTTATACTGATATGCAGCGGTCAACATAGTAAGTTAGTTTTTGTTATTAACAGGTTTTGAAAATTGCACACAGCTTATCACCTCCACTCTAAGTTGAACAATTCACTATTTGAGCACAAACATGGCTATACTACTGTGATGTGCAGTTCCAAAATGTTGTACCACAGGCCACAGCTTCCGAAGGGAGAACACCAGACACTTTTGCGCGGAAAGTCAAATTCATATTCATATTCCTATTTCTGCAAAGAAAAACCAAACAATTACAAAACCACCTTCCATATAGATGCAAAGGGAGAACATACTGGACAAACCTTCCGGTGATAGCCTGAATAGATGAAGTTGCATCCATTTGGTAGTACCATTCTCGTGTGGCTAACCAGACAATCTACCAACTAAAGTAACATCATAACTGACGTGAGCTTCTGGAAGTATATTCCATTTGAAATAGGAATAAGTGAAAAGAGCGAACACTAGAAACTTCTATACTATTCTTTTGATCTTCAAACATGAAATTTATGGGTATGCTTCCAAGTCTTTGTTAGCAACGACCAAATCTAAGCATGAAGTACCAAAAACCCAACCAGAGTAAAGATGAAGAATACCTGCACAACAAGCCAAGAGAAATTGTGAATGCTAGAGCACCTGATACCGAGACCAATGTAGCAGTCAGTTAGAAAGTGGTGAACCAGCCCCCAGCAGCGAATCACACTCACGAGACGAAAAAACAGAAACAGCACCCCAGCTCCCCCGCTACCTAGGGTTTCCCCGCCGCCGCCGCCGGCTCCCCCGCGCGGAGCCACCGCCGCGGCGGCCGGAGCCCGCCGGAGTCGCCAGCCCCCTCATCCCCCCGTTCCCCCTCTCCTCCCCCACCCCCTCCTCGCCCCCGTACCCCCGCGCAGCCTCCCCG